GGCCTGCATCAGCCAAGGTAGGCGCAGGGGGAACAACACTACCAAGTGTGGCTACAGAAGATGTACCTGCAAAAGAAACTGGAGTAGGAACGATGGGGGGTGTCACAGTAGTGGCCGGGGCAGGGCGAGAAGTACACGTAGTAGGGTCTGCCCGAAAACCCCCAGCCCTACAATCCCCCGCAAGATGGCCTTGCTTAAAGCAAGCAGAACAATAAGGAGGGATTTTCTCATACTCAATAGGCTGCCAGAAACCGCAGTCCTCCCTCCCCGGACGTTACTACCCAAACGAATAAAGATTCTATGCTTGAGGGGTAGTAACAAGTCCAACACCACTTTGACCTTAGCCACATGCGGCCTAGAGAACTTAGCCGTAGCAGCGTCAACATGCAAAAACTGCCTAATGGGCTTCACGATCTGTTTGAGGCACGGTATGGAAAAACAATTAGCTTTAAGATTGGGCAAAGATACCCAGACCAGAACTAAAGAAGTCTCATACCGTACATCAAAGTCAGGGTCAAGGGAATTAGAGAAAGTGAGAAAAATGTGCCTAGGGTCCACAAGTCCAATTTCAAGTGTACCCTTAAGCACAAAATTCTTAGTGAAAAATTCCCGAATCACCGAAAGTAAAGGGTGCCCATGGAAAAAATTTCCAACCAATAAATTATTTTACAATTGATTCATCTGATTTACCTCGTGGTCCTCAAAAGTAATACAAGTTTTCACCCCGGTGTGTCTCAATAATTTTTTCAGAAATTGTAGGCACCGGGATGTGACTAGTATTTAAATTTGCACTTGGAGTAATTGGACCACAAAATAAATTAGCAAAAAGAGGGGGAGAGAAAATACCTGAGCTTGGCGTGACCACATTCGGCCGAGGCAGAGGGCCGCTAGAAGAAGAAGGGCGAGAAGGCCCAGTTGGGCCTCTCGGCCGTGAGACAAAATTGGGATTAAATCCCACATTTGTCTCACGGCCACCCAAGCCCACCGAAGCAGTATTATTATTTGTTATGGGGGCGTGGGCGGAGTTCAAGCCCATAGAAGTGGGAAGGGGCCATTCCTGAGCTTGAAATGGCCATATTCGGCCTGGATGAAGGGCCGCCAGAAAGAGATGGGCGAGCAGGCCCATTATATTGAGGTGGCAAGATTGGGCCTCTTGGCCGTGAGACAAAATTGGAATTAAATCCAGTTGTGGTCTCACGGCCCCCCAAGCCCAAAGGATTATTATTATAAGAGGGGGCTTGGGGCGGGTCAAGAGAAGGGCCAAGGTTATGGCCCAAATTGTCACTTGGCCGAGAGGCCACGGTGGGATTAAATCCCAAAATGGGCTCACGGTCATCATGGCCCAAAGGCCCACTTGTAGTCTCACGGCCAGAAGCAACAAAAGCTAAAGAAGGATTATTAAAATTAAAACCATGTTGTGGATCATTATTAGTGGGCCGAGCATGAGTGCTATGGGGGATAGGGTGAGAAAACGAACTGGGCCTAGACATATTAGTTACCAAACTAATATTAGCTAGCCCATTCCCTTCATGAATTAACCCCCCATTAGAAACATTACTCTCAAGCCCATTCCGAAAAGAAGCCTGATCATTAGTTCTGGGCCCAGAAGTAGTAGACTGACTAGGTCCAGAAGAAGTAATCAGGTGAGCATTAAAATTAGGAAAAGAAATAGAGCCCAAGTGTGAGTTTGGTTCAATTCCAACCGAACAGTCGTTATATTATAGACCGCGGTGCATGTGCACCGCGGTCAAAAACGGCGCCGTTTCTTTAAGTAAAGAAACGGCCCGCCGTTAGAGTTAACGGAGTCCGCTTATTTGGTGTATTAAATACCAAGTGATACTATAGTATATCTAAACCGACACTGCAGTTATATCAAAATGATACTGTAGTTATAGTGGAATGAAACTGCAGTGTATATAAAATGAAACTGAATAACATTTCACATATTTGAGTGTATATTGTACAATGAAGCTGTAATTATATCGAAATGATCATGTAGTTGTGTTTTAATGAAAATATAGTGTATATAAAATAAAATTAAATAACATTTTCACATATTTGAGTCTATAAATATCGAATGAAACTATAGTTATATCGAAATGAAACTGTAGTTGTGTTGAACTGAAACTGCAGTGTATACAAAATAACACTGAACAACAAAGTTACTTTTTGCAAAAGGGTGCGAAACGGCGGAAACAAACACTGTTTATTTTCATTTAAAAAAAAAAAAAAAGACGCGCGGTGCATAATCGATTATGCACCGCGGTGCATAATCGATTATGCACCGCGGTGCATAATATAATTTGCCCAACCGAAACATTGGGCCCTAAATTAACAAGATGGTGAGCATTATTATGAATAATTGTTCTGGGCCCTTCAGAAGAGATAGGGTTAACAAGAGACCCATGATCGTGATGTGGGAATGGCCCAGAAGAATTAAAAGAGCAAGCAGCCATGCTAACAATTGGACCCGTCCCAGAATTAAAACCAATCGGTATAGGGGGCATCAAATTGTTAGCATTGGTAGACAAAAATTGAGCATTCTGAGGGGTTGCACCCCGATTATGCAAGTGTGGACGAATAGAATTCCCATCATTGGCATCAACAGGAGGTACAATGGAAGCAGATTGGGAAGTTAAATTTCCTCTAGAAAAATTACTATCAATACTTGAAAAATTTTGTGCCATAGTAGATGAGCCAATGTTGGGATTTTGAGTAGACATGAGGACAGAATCAGTATAAGTGGGCAAAGGACCACCATGCACATGAGGCAAAGGACCACTATGCTCATGGTGGACCTCATGCAAATTCTCCATGACATGAGTACCATGGAGAAGCCCGGCCGTGAGGGGCGTAGGGTGAGAAGCAGTATGAAGGCCAATTGGCCTTTCCCGGGGGTTACGAGTGTTCTCCCGGCCACCCCCACGACCACCAAAAGGACGACCATCACCAGGGAGGGGTAACGAACGAGTATACTCCATCTGAGCTCTATGACCAGCCATGTTTCCAGGAACCAGCCGATTAGAGGCACCAAGGAGAGTCTCATTCGACCCACCACTCGTCCGGTGATGATGACGGAGCAGAGGAGCGCTAGAAAGCAAAAGGGAAGAGCCAGTATCCAACGTGAAGGTTGGTACTGGAGGGACGAGCAGATTACCTTGGCGAGTGAGGGGTGGCAATTCACGACTCCATTGTTGAGCACCATACGGCTTGTTCTATGTCGACGACTTGGCCTCCGACGAACGGAGGGATGGGCTGGATTTTCTGTCGCAATTGCCGGAGAAGGCTTCGAAGGTGGCACGGCAGTGCTTGTGCGAGAAGGCCCAGCTTGTGTCTCTGCCAAGGGCGGAGGTGGAGTGTGATCGACTAGTGCCCGGGCAAACCTTGCCTGAGCCTCTTCGACTAGCGACGACCCATCCACAAAGTCTGCCTGCATGAGGTTCCAAATAGAGGGGGCTGCTTCAACGTCGATTCCAGGTCCGGCCAAAATTGCCGATATAGAGACCGAATTCCGGTCAGAATTCCGGTTAGTAACAAAGGCAGGGAGCGCCAGGGTGGGTCGCTGTTGGTCCTCCCTCGCACGAGACGTCGGAGACGAAGAAGTCAACGGCATCCAAGGTTCGATGGTCGATCGCGTCAGTGGGCTCCGATCATCAAAAAGGTGAGTGCGTTGGAGAGCTACGGTGGAGGAGAGCTCATCCACCATCTCCGATTGTCCATCGCCGCAGGGAAGCAGCCGGATCGCCGCCGATGAGACCTCGGCAGTCGCGATTCGCGAAATCGCACCAGGGCTCCGATCATCGCGCGGTTGGTCCCGTTGGATTGCTGGTGAGAGGGGGAAGCTGAGAGGGGTGACAGATCGTTCATCGCCGGCGGGAGGTGGCCGGTGAGCTCTTTGCGAAATCGCGACAGTCGCGATTGGAGAAAACTCCTCCGACGTCCGATTTGATGGGAGAAGGTGTCGATGAGTTCCTGCTGTGGCCGGGAAGCTTGTGGGAGGGTCATAACCATCATCGCCGGCCAGGAAGGGTGAGATCTCCGGCGGGCCAGTCTCGCCAATCGCGATTTCCGAAATCGCAATCGGCGGTCGATCTTCACGCCGGTGGTCTAGATGGAGAGCGGATGAGGTGGGGAAGCTTTCTGCCGGTTCCAAATATTTTGTCTCGTTTTGCTTTGCATACTGAGGAGCTGCTAATGAGAGCTTCAAAGATTGTGAAAAAGAAGGAGACTGTGAAAATTTTCTGTTCTGCTTCCTTGAGCTCGTAATTCTGAACTACTCAGGCACATTAAGCACAAATCTTAGGCACATTAAACACAATACTCAGACACATTAAGTACAAAAATCAGCACATTAAGTACAAATCTCAGGCACATTAAGCACACAAGACTCAGACACATTAAATATAAAACTCACGCACATTAATCAACCGCACAACCGAACTGGAAGCCACAAATGCACCTGATGCCTTCCATATATATATATATATATATATATATATATATATATATATATATATATATATATATATATATTTCATTCATTCTGGATATATAGTTCATTCATTCTGTACATAATGAGGTCAAATTTTGCGTATTGGACCAGGGTCCACAGTGCAATGTGGACCCTGGTCGACGATATAAATTCCCATACACAATATGTTACAAAATCTGGATGGGATCCACAATAGACATGATGGACACTGATCAACAATTAAGATAGTATATCATATCATTCAGTTTATTTACATTGTATTTTACAGATATACATAATATGTTATAAATACACAGGGTCGACCATGGGGATGTGCATAATATGTTACAAATACACAGGGCCCACCACAAGTATAATGGACACTGGTCCACAATATGACAATTAGGATTCAAATTACTTGCCTACAAGTTATTTAAGAACAGTGAGAACCAGTACAATTAAGCTGTCTTGATTATTTGATAAAGGTTTCACATTGAAGCTAGCATGTCTTCCCAACCGACATATGCATATGGAATACGACCTTCCAAAAAAATGGAGCTTTCTCACCCTAAGAATGGAGAGGTAAGCCTTACTTTATATTCTTGTGTGGATTTAATTCATGCATTCGAAGCTTTGCTAAAATTGAATATTTTTTATCCATATATATGTGGTTTGGGACAATCGATGATGATAAATAATGTGATGGTTCAAGAGTGCTAATACCCAATATGTTTAAAGGGAGGAAAATTTTATTCTGCTTAAGAATTTGCGTTTGAGAGCAGAACCCAAACGTTTACATTGCTCTCATTGTGAATCTAACTCGTTTATCTCAGAGGAAAAAAAAAAAAAGCCAAATCTAATATCCTTCTTCGGAATGCTGACTGCAAAAAGAAGGTTGGACTCTTTTCTTTATATAATTTTTATTAAAAATATATTTGTCTCTTTTTTCCAAGTTTGCATTATATTTTGCATTCTTTGATTATTATTTTCAAAATGTAACGGTATACGTTAATTATTTTGTTTTCTTCCACTAATTTTTTATTTTTCTAAAAAAATATAAAATTTCTCTAGTCATTAAAAATCATAAATTATTGTTATCTGTGTGTGATGTGTGTGATTTACCTGTAATCCAGTCTGATGATATCAAGTACAGCTATTATATATTTAATTAGCTATAGCATATACTATTAATTAGTGTCGGTGTAAACAATATTCAATACAACCATATGTAATATATATTTAATCATATTATTATATTATAACCGTGGTCTACAATATGACAATTAGGATTCAGATTACCTGCATGCAACTTATTTTAGAACTGTGAGAACCAGTACAGTTCAGCGGTCTTGATTATCTGATAAAGGTTTTACATTGAAGCTAGCATATCTTCCCAACCAACATATGCATATGGAATACGACCTTCCAAAAAAAATGGAGCTTTCTCACCCTAAGAATGGAGAGGTAAGCCATACTTTATTTCCTTGTGTGGATTTAATTCATGCATTCGAAGGTATGCTAAAATTGAATTTTACTGTTCCATATATATGTGGTTTGGGACAATCAATGATGATAAATACTTTGATGGTTCAAGAGTGCCAATACCCAAAATGTTCAAAGGGAGGAAAATTTTGTTCTGCTTGAGAATTCGCGTTTGAGAGCAGAACCCAAACGTTTACTATGCTCTCATTGTGAATCTATGTCGTTTATCTCAGAGGAAATGAAAACCAAATCTGATATCCTTCATCGGAATGCTGACGGCAAAAAAAAGGTTGGACTATTCTTTATACTATTTTTTTTTTTTAATTTTTGTCTCTTTTTTTCAAGTTTGCATTATATTTTGCATTCTTTGATTCTTATTTTCAAAATGTAACGGTATACGTTTAATTACTTTGTTTTCTTCCACTAATTTTCCATTTTTCTAAAAAAATATAAAATTTCTCTAGTCATTAAAATATCATAAATTATTGTTATCTGTGTGTGACGTGTGTGATTTACCTGTAATCCAGTCTGATGATATCAAGTACAGCTATTATATATTTAATTAGCTATACCAGATACTATTAATTAGTGTCGGTGTAAATAATATTCAATACAACCAAATGTAATATATATTTAATCATATTATTATATTATATATTGGAGACTCCCACAAATTTTCTATACATTTTTTGGTTGACATGTTTTGTTGTGCGTTATGTTTTGCAGCATGCAAATGCATTGGCCTTTTTGCGACGTGTATTTGCATAAGAAGATTCAAACCGCAATAAGACCTCATAATGTACTCTGATGACTTTATTTAAGTGAAACACTTGATTGCTATAATCTGCAAGCGCACAGAGTCAATCACAGTATAAATTCCTGGAGTATTCCATGGTCGATCCCACGAAGAACATTATTAACTGTTATCTCTAATAATCGAATTGTTGATAAGGAAAATCTCAAATAAATAGAATTAATGTGATTAAAAAGAATATTTATGAATTTAATGCAAAGAAAACTTTCAGTTGAGAGAAGACTAGGGATTTGGGTTCACCTATTAGATAATTAACTAACTCTCCTAAGTATTAATTCTTATGACTATAGTGTTGATTGCTTCAAATATATCCTAATACTCCGTCGAGCTACTAGGTTGTATCCAATTAACTGTGATCATCCGTCCATATCTCACCAACATTAATTAAACCCATTAAGCAACAATCAAATATCACCACAAATACCTAAAGCTATGTCTAATTTAGGTCAATTGTGTTTATATTACGAGTTCTAGGTTCATATTCACCAGTCAGTTCTTCTTATGAACCCTAATATTAGAATCATGCAATGGCCAGTCACACAATTCACAATTAAAATACATAAAATAAATACAATCAAATTCAATTATTAAACTGAAATTAGAAGAATCAACACATGAATAATAGTCAATTAATCTAATCAAGGCTAATCTAAATCCCTAATTAAAGTTTCTAGCCAAGAATCATAATTAAATATATGAAAAATTCAAGGAATATCATTCTGGAAATTTAAACAATAAATAATGTGGGGAAGAAAAATAATTCAAGCCTAAAAGGAAGATAGCCGCGATTGAAGCTCAAAAATTCCTTGCGATAGAGTCTTGAATCTCTTCGCTCATGCTGCAATTTTCTCGCCGAACCGCTGCTCCCCCAACTTCTTTTCTTCTCCTCTTTGAAATTTCCTCGCTGACAACACCACTGCTGCTCCAGGCTTTCGTTTGTTTCCTCCCCGTACGTATTCTCTGCTGTCCGCTTTTAACTACTGCCGTACGCAGCAAGAAGAGCAACAGCCCCAAAACCTTTTAATTTCTTTCTTTTCTTTGTCTGCTGCGTAAAACCCAACAAGAAAAAGCAAAACAAAATAATAATAAAAATTATAACCTAATGAAACTATTTAATTAAACTAAGTAATAAATAAAATACTATAGTTAAAATAAAATACTATTTATATTAATAAAAATTCAACCTTAGTCTAATACTTATTAAAATCAATCTAAACTAGTCTAAACTAGTAACATATAACTAAATATAATATTTATAATAAAATCAGCCCTAGAACTTAATTTATTTATAAAAATAACTTACTAAAATTACAGTAAGTAATGTCTAGAAATTATTCTTATCAAACTTCCTCACACTCAAGGTTTTGCTTGTCCCCAAGCAAACTTATTCAATGAAATCAAACTACCAACCATAACCATGTCAACTAGTCATTCAATTCAAGGGAATTGGTAAACACATAATACTTCATGAGAGTTCAAAGTCATAAGCACACAATACAAAAGAGAATAGCAGTCCTCACGGTTGTTCACTCAATCTCTCATAAATATATGTATAAAAAAGGTACACACCATCCTCAATTAAGAGTGCACTTGCCATAGGCTTGCTTGTCCACCAAACTCCACTACCAAAATTATATGAAAAACACGAGTCAAAAGGTCTTTATTTCGGGGTTGTAATGGGGCCACGGGTATGTGGTTTAAGAAAGAAAGGATATAAGGAAATACAAATAAAGTCCAAGGAATCAGTAGAGCCATAATTTCACCATACCAAGAGCAAGAACTTGTATTCTACCAATAAAACGAACTCTACCAAAACAAGCAATCACTACTTCATTCTCCTTCATCCTTTTCGCTGATAAACTCTCAAAACAACTTCTAAAACCTCATTTTCATCTTTTTTCATCTTTTTTTTTTTTTTTTCATTTTCTTCTTCTTTTTCCTCTTTTTTTTTTTTCTCTGGTAAAACCGAATAAATAGCTTTCCATTTCCACACAACCCTCAATGGTACTCTTCCCATAATCATCGAATTTCTATCATGCCTTCATTGCTCATAAATCATTTTAAGAATAAAATGAGCATAAAAGTTTGGGCTAACAAGATTTTTCAACCCACAAAATTAGAATAGATCTCATTTTGTTCATTTTTTTCATTTTCACCCCCTTTGATCACAAACAATTCTTCACTCAAAGAAAACCAATTGTACAATCACCTTTCAACTCCAATCTCACCAATACTTCATCACTTTTGGTCATCTTGCACAGATAAATGAAATAATGACTTCTACTGACTCAAGGACGGGCTTAGAGGCTTCTTTTTATGAGCTAAGGTTCTTTGGGACTGGCTAATGAAGAAAAATGTCTTATATTTATTTTAAAGCTCAAAAATGATTCACTAGGAAAAATATAACATGTATAAAGATATGGTCATTCTAAAGGCAATAAGGCTAAATCCTAATGCCTAAATCATTCTCATGTCAACATATAACATGTAGCTCTGAAATGGTATGAAGCAAGTTCTAGAAGTAACACAATCAAAGGGGGCAAATAAACACTCAAAATGAAAATAAGTTGCAGTGGGCAACCTCTAGGCTCAACAGCTCACGGTGTGACAGAATTTGACTACCAACTCTATGCAAGCATACATATAGCCAAACACATTCATTGATATTATGCACTCCCAAAACACTAGAACTTATCTCCCAATCAACATAGTCATTAGATGGCATTTTTTTAAAACTTTATTTGCTAAGAAATTGTAGAAAAAATGAAAGAAATGACGCTGAAAATCCCATAAAATGAAGAAAATTAGTGCAGAAAATGTAGAAAGAAAAATGCAGAATTTTACTGTAGCAAAATGCAGAAAAATAGGGAAAATGCAGAAAATTGTAGGAAAAATGCAGAATTTTTTTTGATATTGCCTAATTTGCATAAAACTTGCACAAAACATCCCCTAATCTTACTTTCCCTTCCCCACACTCAAACTCAACATTATCCTCAATGTTAAATATAAAAGCAAGTATGAGAAAATGAAATAAACAGGAAACTTCCCTGTTAGTTGCCAGTTTCTTCCGGGGCTGCCTTTTGGTGAAGCAACCATGAATGGTCCATTTTTCTCTCTGTCAATCTCTATGGCCTCATATGAACAAACTTTAGTGACCATGAAAGGACCAAACCATCTAGACTTCAATCTCTCTAGAAAAAGCTTAAGACAAGAATTAGACAACAAAACTTCTTGCCCTACATTGAATTCTCTCCAAAAATTATTTTTGTCATGCCAAGCTTTAGTCAATGTTCTCCACAATCTCTCTTCTTTTGCATGAAGTAAATGAGCATAAGAAAACATAAGAAAAATATCATTGTTACTCAAAAATTCGTATTTGAACTGCAATAAAGGTGGTTTAAGTTCAAGTTGATGTGGTGTTTCACTAGGTGAATGCTTAACAAATTCTTCTTCTAAAGGTTTCTCAATAACATCAACAAAAAGACATGATTCATCAAAAGTTGGTAATTTTACAGCTTTAGAGATAGAGAATTCCTCTTTTTCTGTACCTACTCTAAAAATCAATTTCCCTAAAGGCATATCAATTAATACTCCTCCTGTCAAAAAAATGGCCTACCAAGTATAAGAGATGTATCTGTGTCACTACCCATATCAAGAATCAGAAAATCAGTAGGAAAATAAAATTTACCAACTTTTACCAAGATATCCTCCACTACACCAAGCGGGTACTTCACTGATCTATCAGCAAGTTGGAGAGAGATTGTTGTTGGCTTCATTTCAGCGATTTTCAACTTCTTAAAAAGAGTTAAAGGCATAAGGTTAATACTGGCATCTAGATCACATAAGCATTTATCAATTACAGTATTACCAATAGTGCAAGGAATAGAAAAACTTCCTGGATCCATTAGCTTAGGAGGTAATTTGCTTTGTAGAATAGCACTAACTCTTCATTTAAATGCACAGTAGCAAACTCTTCCAGTCTCTTTTTATTAGACACAATTTCCTTAATGTACTTGGCATAAGACGACATATTAGCAAGTGCTTCTGCAAAAGGAATATTAATCTGCAATTTTTTAAAAACCTCCAAAAATCTTTTAAAGTTATTGTCCTGGTTCCTCTTTTGTAACCTTTGTGGGTATGGAATGGGGGGTACATAAGGTTTTACTGTAGAGGATGTGAGGTTTTGATCACTAGAATTCTCTTTAGGCACTTGCTCTTCTTCTTTATCACTCTCTTTTTCAACACTCGTGGGTTCTTTTTCTTTCATAACTTCATTCAATATCTTACCACTTCTCAAGGTGACAGCCATAACTCCTTCCCTAGGGTTTATTTCAGTGGTACTAGGAAACTTACCTCGATCTTTTTCTGCAACCAATTTAGCCAGCTGACCTACTTGCACTTCTAAATTATGAATAGATGCTTGGTTAGACTGAGCAACCTTATCAATCTTTGCATCCATTTTCTTCATCATAGTGTCCTGGCTAGCCATGTATTGCATGAACATCTCTTCCAATTGAGGCAATCTTCTCCTGAGCAGGGAGTTGAGACTGTTGTGGTGCAAGTGGCTGCTGGAAAGGTCTGTATTGCTGATGCTGGAATCTTGATGGTCCTTGTTGCTGAAATCCAGGTGGTCCCATTGATCTTGCATTACCTTGATCTCTCCATGAGAAGTTAGGATGGTTTCGCCAACCTGGATTATAGGTATGGGAAAATGGATCACTCCTTGGTTGTTGCCTACCCATATTGGATCCCATGTAATTAGCTTCCTCATAAGATGGTTGTGATGACTCTGCATTCATACAAACAGAAGAATTATGACCATATGCATTGCAAAAAGCACAAATTCTCTATTCGAACTATCACGAGTCATCAACAAGTTAATCTGTTTAGTCAATTCAGCCATTTGTGTTGTCAACTCAGATTGTGTGCTAATTTCATGCACAACAGCTCTTCGATCTCTCACTGCCTTTTGTCGAGAATTACTAGCTAAGCTCTCAAAGATAGCTTCTAACTCATCACTATTTTTATCACCTGTGAATCCACCTGCAGCAGTATCTACAAGAGACTGACAATTAGGAGTTAAACCATCATAAAAGAATTGTGTCAACAATAACAATGGGAATTGATGGTGTGGACATTGTGTCAAAAGCAATTTAAAACGATCCCATGCTTCATGAAATACCTCGGCCTCTCTTTGAGTGAAAGTGCATATCTTACTCCTATAGTCCATTGTCTTTTGAGATGAATAATATTTAAACATGAAAGCATTATAAACATCATCCCAAGTTCTTAAAGAACCCTCTGGTAAATTTAACAACCATTGCCTAGCATCACCCCTCATGCAATATGGAATACATTTCATTCTAAGCTCTTCTTCAGACAAATTATTCAAAGGTAAAGTTTGTACCGTACTATAGAGCTCTCGCATGAAACCCAAAGCATCTTCACTTCCCAAACCGTTAAAGGTAGGGAGCATATTCATATGGAAAGTCTTGAGTTCATAATTTCTAGCTGCATCAGATAATTGAATGCAAGAAGGGTTAACAGCTATTACTGGTCTTTGGATGTCTCGAAGACGTGGTTGAGCTGCTTGATTGTGAGGTGGTGGAACTATTGGTGGCACGGGGTCATCCTGTTGACCCACTCTATTGTTTTCAGCCATTTCAAGCCGCCTTCGTACCCTGTTTTTTCTCCAAGTACGCTCAATGTCAAGATCAATAGGGAATAATTCAGTATTTTTATGCCTCAGTGATCGCCTTAAGTTCATAAACAAACAAAATAATAATAGAAAAACAAAAACTAAATAAAAATAAAAATAAAATAACAACGAACCTAACAGCTAAAATAAATTTGAAAAGAAATTAAAAAGTGAAAACTTAAAGAAAACAGTTTAATAAAGTGTCCCCGGCAACGGCGCCAAAAACTTGATTGCTATAATCTGAAAGCGCACAGAGTCAATCACAGTATAAATTCCTAGAGTATTCCAGGGTCGATCCCACGAAGAACATTATTAACTGTTATCTCTAATAATCGAATTGTTGATAAGGAAAATCTCAAATAAATAGAATTAATGTGATTAAAAAGAATATTTATGAATTTAATGCAAAGAAAACTTTCAATTGAGAGAAGACTAGGGATTTGGGTTCACCTATTAGATAATTAACTAACTCTCCTAAGTATTAATTCTTATGACTATAGTGTTGATTGCTTCAAATATATCCTAATACTCCGTCGAGCTACTAGGTTGTATCCAATTAACTGTGATCATCCGTCCATATCTCACCAACATTAATTAAACCCATTAAGCAACAATCAAATATCACCACAAATACCTAAAGCTAGGTCTAGTTTAGGTCAATTGTGTTTATCTTACGAGTTCTAGGTTCATAATTCACCAGTCAGTTCTTCTTATGAACCCTAATATTAGAATTATGCAATGGCCAGTCACACAATTCACAATTAAAATACATAAAATAAATATAATCAAATTCAATTATTAAACTGAAATTAGATGAATCAACACATGAATAATAGTCAATTAATCTATTCAAGGCTAATCCAAATCCCTAATTAAAGTTTCTAGCCAAGAATCATAATTAAGTGTATGAAAAATTCAAGGAATATCATTCTGGAAATTTAAACAATAAATAATGTGGGGAAGAAAAATAATTCAAGCCTATAAAAGGAAGATAGCCGCGATTGAAGCTCGAAAATTCCTTGCGATGGAGTCTTGAATCTCTTCGCTCCTGCTGCAATTTTCTCGCCGAACCGCTGCTCCCCCAACTTCTTTTCTTCTCCTCTTTGAAATTTCCTCGCTGACAACACCACTGCTGCTCCAGGCTTTCGTTTGTTTCCTCCCCGTACGTATTCTCTGCTGTCCGCTTTTAACTACTGCCGTACGCAGCAAGAAGAGCAACAGCCCCAAAACCTTTTAATTTCTTTCTTTTCTTTGTGTGCTGCGTAAAACCCAACAAGGAAAAACAAAACAAAATAATAATAAAAATTATAACCAAATGACACTATTTAATTAAACTAAGTAATAAATATAATACTATAGTTAAAATAAAATATTATTTATATTAATAAAAATTCAACATTAGTCAGGTACTTATTAAAATCAATCTAAACTAGTTTAAACTAGTAACATATAACTGAATATAATATTTATAATAAAATCAGTCCTAGAACTTAATTTATTTATAAAAATAACTTACTAAAATTACACTAAATAATGTCTAGAAATTATGCTTATCAGCCTTCTATTTATAATGCAGTTTGTATATTAGAATTATTGACTTTGACTTCGAAATTGGCTCCCAGACTTCTCTTGGTATTGAATTTTATCTCAATTCAATTTGATCTCCATGTCTTCTTTGAATCGGTCCCCAACTTGAAATTCTCAATTCAATTTGATCTCCATGTCTTTTGATCTCCATGTCTTCTTTGAATCGGTCCGCAACTTGAAATTGCATCCCATACTACAACCTCAATTGACTCCCAATTTCAATTCTACATTAGCTCCCATCTTGAATTGATTCCCATGTGAAACTTGCTCCCAATTTCAATTTCTCTGAAACTATAGCTCTCAATTTCAATTGCTATGAAATCGGCTCCCAATTCCTACAATTGCCACCCAAATTCCACTTGTAATTGACGCCCAAAGCCAAACTAGCGCCCAACTCTATCAGACTTAATTAATTTTGGCTTCTCAAATTTTACCTTGTAAAATTATTGATGGTGAGATTCAAACTTGAGCCATTTTGCATAATACATCAGGCATCTTCCACTTCGTCCATACAACTTATTGGTTAAATCTCCAATCACATTTGATGTACTCCTTTCTTTCCATAGATGCTTGATCTCCAAGTCAAATTCATGCAATCTTTAAAACTTAATTTTCTTTCACGAAAATTCTTCTGGGATATTTCTCTGAGTAGCTTTGACGTGATTTTCATATCATTCAACTTCTTCTTCAATTTGTCATTTTCTCCAGACAAATTCTTGATTTTCGGCTTGATATCTTCTTCTTCTATTTTTCATGCATCTTCCTCTGTTTTTCTCTTTTGCAATATAAATAATTTCTCGATCATGGTCTAAGACTCTACTAGACCAATGAAATAAAATTGGGAGATTTACAAATACATATTTGGCATATCAAAACCATTACACTTTATTCCTAACAGTTGGTTTATCTCTTTGAGCATATAATATATAGGTATACATCTGTATAGTAGTTCAACCATCAACTTGAACTTTTTGTTTTGACAGAACATATCTTTCAATTTAGTATTAAAGATGATACATAAGAGTTTTATCGACGGATAAAAAAAATTACAGTCCATACGTTTCTTGGAGCCCTTAAAAAACATATACTCCCTAATAAATACATACATACATACATACATACATACATATATACATACACACACACACACACACACACACATATATATATATATATATATATATATATATATATATATATATATATTTCATTCATTCTAGATATATAGTTAATTCATTCTGTACATTATGAGGTCAAATTTTGTGTATTGGACCAGGGTCCACAGTGCACTGTGGACCATGGTCCACGATATAAATTGCCGTACACAAAATGTTACAAAATCTGGACGGGATCCACCGTAGACAAGATGGAAACTGGTCCACAATTAAGATATTATATCATATCATTCAGTTTATTTACATAATATTTTACAAATATTCATAATATGTTATAAATACACAGGGCCCACCACAAGCATAATGGACACTGGTCCACAATATGACAATTAGGATTCAGATTACCTGCCTGCAAGTTATTTAAGAACTGTGAGAACCAGTACAGTTAAGCTGTCTTGATTATCTGATGAATTGAAGCAAGCATGTCTTCCCAACCCACATATGCATATGGAATACGACCTGATGGAATTAATTAACCCGGGGTGGACCCGAATCAATAAATCCAGATAAGAACGTAATACAATAACTAATAAACGAAATATAGAACGATGTCGTAAAGGTCGATGGGGACCGTATATCATATTAATTGCCGTAGTATTTGGCTATTACAAAGATCCGATAGAACAAAGTGTGTAATAAGTGTATAATATGTAATGAATCGCCCTTTGTTAGGACAAGGAGGGGTTTTTTTTTTACAAGCTAACCCCCCAACCGCCTCCCCCTAAATCGGGGGGTGGTTAGATCTCAACTTTGACCGGGCCCGGGTGGACCGGGTCGGGTCGGGTCACGTAGGTCGGGTCGGGTCGGGGCACCTCCATGGTGCTCCGGGTCCGTGTTGGTCTTGGGCACCTCCATGGTGCCCGGGGTCCGTGTTGCTTCTAGGCTCCAATGTGGTGCCCCGGGTCCATGTTGCTCCTGGGCACCTCTGTGGTGCCCCGGGTCCACGCTGCTCTTGGGCACCTCCGTGGTGCCCCGGGTCTGTGTTGCTCTTGGGCTCCACCAAGGTGTTCCGGGTTCGTGTTGCTACCCCGGGTCGGGTCGTGGGTATAATATATCCATCATGAGTCCCCCACTCTCTTCGTTGCGAGTAGGAGTCAACGAATGAGAGTATCCGTGCGCCGACCAGAGCCCCCTAGGTGGAAAATTCTAAGCTCCAAATTTTAGCCGAGGTGCCTTATGCCAAGGCGTCTCGGGCCGAGGTGTCCTGAACCAAGGGCGTGGTGCCTTGTGCCGAGGTGTCTTGGGCCGAGGTGTCCTTAGCCGAGGTGCCTTGGGTCGAGGTGATACGTCTTGGGCCGCTCCGCCTCCTTGCTCCGCGCCTTCCTCACGCACGTGGCCCGAGCTCAAAGTAGCCGACCTTGTTCTCCCTTGGTGTGTACAAGACTTGTTATTTTGACTACTCAGGTAGCACAAACTTGTTCCTTCCTTTGCCATGTGCTACACTTGAATATTTTGACTATTGCCCATTTGCTATGGTGATGTGATGGTTGCTACCTTCTACATGCTATCACCCTTCTTTCAAATATTTGCGTTTTTTTTTTTTTTTGGCCACCTCGGCACCAGCCGTGGTGGACCTTGCCAGCTCGCCGAGGTGGGCCTCAGCAGACCTCGGCAGGATGTCGAGCTAGGCCTCGGCCGCGTGTCGAGGTGTGGCACGGGTAGACCTCGGCACGTTGCCGAGGTGGTGCCATGGTGCACCTCGGCAACGTGCCGAGGTGCAACCATGGTGCACCCCGGTGTTGTGCCATGTCATCGGGCTCTCCCTTCGGGGTTGGTACGCGAGGTCGGACCTCGTGCCCCCTTAGGGTACGTTAGTCGCTCAGGTTAAGTCCTTCCGGACTTCGCCACCGGGCTCTTCCCTCGGGGTTTGTACACGAGGTCGGACCTCGTGCCCCCTTTGGGTGTGCCAAACCACTTGTGCCTAGTCCTGTCGGACCAAGCCACCGGGCTCCTCCGTCGGGGTTTGTACGCGAGGTTAGACCTCGTGCCCCTTAGGGTGCGCGTTAGCTGCTCGGGCACAGTCCGTCAAGACTGTGCCACCGGGCTCTTCCGTCGGGGTTGGTACGCGAGGTCAGCCCTCGTGCCCCCTTAGAGTGCGTCCTCCGTCGGGGTTGGTCCGCGAGGTCGGGCCTCGAGTCCCCTTAGGGTTCGCTGGGGGGAAGACATGATTGAGCACTCGTTCCCCCCTATTTCATGATTTTT